CAAATCCCCTCCTACACGCCAGCCTTGCTCCTACCCCTGAGCTATGGAGCCCGTGTGCTGCAAACCCCTCCGTGCTGGTCACCAGGGGGGGACCACAATCTGGCTGCATGACCCCAAATCTCCATCACCCCCAAATCTCCACCACCCCCCCGAATCTCCACCACCTCCCCAAAATCCCTCCTAGGCCGCAGCCTTGCTCCAGCCCCTGAGCTATGGAGCCCATGTGCTAAAAACCCCACCGTGGTGGTCACCAGGGGGGAGCCCCAAATCTCCACCACCACCCAAATCTCCACACCCCCCATATCCCCACCACCCCCCATACCTTCACCACCCCCCCAAAACCCCTCCTAGGCACCAGCCTTGCTCAAACCCCTGTGCTATGGAACCGGTGAGGGAAAATCCCCTCCGTGGTGGTCAGCAGAGGAGAGCCCCAAATCTCCAACACCTCCCAAATCTCCAACACCCCCCCAAATCTCCAAAACCCCCCCAAAACCACTCCTAGGCAACAGCCTTGCTCAAACCCATGAGCTATGCTGCCAGTGGGGGAAAATCCCCTCTGTGCTGGTCACCAGGGGAGAGCCACAAATCTGGCTTCATCGCCCCAAATCCCCACCACCCCCCAAATCTCCGCCACCCCTCCAAAAGGCCCCCTAGGCCCCAGCCTGGGCCAGCTCCCCTAAACATGATGACAAACAGCCTCAGCAAGGATGCAGGCACCAGCACAAGCATCCACCCCCACCCCCCTAAAAAACCAAAAGTTGGGGTTCAGCCCCTACGCTGCTCCGCTATGAGAGCTGGGGTTCAGTCCCGGCACCTCCAGCATCTTTTAGGGGAGGGGGGAGGAGTTTGGTTTTGAGGTTTGGCCAAAGCACAGGCAGAGAGGGAAGTGCCGTGGCGCTGCCGGAATAACCAACTCTCAGGCAAACCTTGGCTCAGACGTTATCTCCAGCTTTTTATTGCAGCCCTGATTTGAGGAATATGCAAATGTTTGTGTTTAACGAAAAGATAGGGGGGGAACCCCCCTCCCCCCACCCCAATATATATACCTTCACCCCAACATACATGTGCCTTCACTTAAATTCCTTCTTTAGACTTAAATACCGACCAGGAAAATCCTTCAAACCACAATTCCGATGTTCTCCAGCCCGTCAGCTGTTGGGAATGATAAAGAGGAGAAGACGAGCGCACGTAGCACCGTCACGTTTGATTTCCAGGATGTGGGCTAGGAACAACCTGAAAGGATTCAAACCCGCTTGGGGGATGGTTTGGGGGTTTTTTGCTTCCCCTGGTTTGCAGAAATGGAATCATAGAATCAGGGAAGCGTTGAGGTTGGAGAAGCCCTTGAAGCTCCCCCAGCCCAACCCTTCCCCTACCCCTGCCATCCCACCCCCAAACCCTGGCCCTCAGCACCGCCTCTGCCCGGCTGTTAAATCCCCCCAGG